CATACAAATTACCCAAACATTTAGCAGCTGAAAGCAACAAACACTATCTCAGAGTTCCTGGGAGTCAGGAATCCAGGTGTGGCTCAGCCAGGCGCATCTGGCTCACGCTGTCTCACAAGGCTGCAATCGAGGGGTCACTTAGGGCGCAGTCTTAGGAGGACCTGCTTCCAAGCTAACTCATGTGGCTGTGGGCTGGTGACGGCTGGCTACTGGCTAGAGACCTCAGTTCCTTGCCACATGGGCCTCTCCACGGGACAACTCCCAGCCTGGCAGCTGGCTTCCTTTAGAGTGAGAGCAAGGGGAGAGGTAGCGGAGCCCCCAGGATAGAAGCCATCCACCGGTATCCAGATATTTTTACTGTCTCTGTTCACTAGAAGAGAGTCACTAGGTCCAGCCCACACTCAAGAGCAGGGGATTACACACGGGTGTGACAACCAGGAGGTGGCTATTACTAGGGACCATTTAGACTCTGCCTACCACCCTGGGTTGTCCTTGTCCTCCTCTTAAGCTCTTTGGAGTTTGCTATAAATAATGGTAACTCAAGGTTGTGATGTGGGAAACCAAGAGTAGGCTCCTGTCTCCTTCCTCCAGAGTTAATCATTGGGAATTTCCTCAGTATATGCATTTCCACTGTGCGTAATACAAAACTTTACAGAGCAAGGTTATAAAGATGAAGCAGCAGAATACATGCAGAGTCGTCGCCATCCTGTGGAAGGAAGGCTCTGGCTCACCGAGCCCTTGACGGTTAACTGGGGAGGAGGTAGACCAGGTAGGATGCAGAGTAGTGCTGAGGCCTCCAAGCTTCCTGGCAGTGCAGACTCAGGAACTGGAGTCCCGGGCTCAAACCTCAGCCCGGCTGCTTAGCTGTGCTTCCTACTCGTACCTGCTTTTTCATCGGCGGAAAGAAAATAGTAACAGTATCTGTAGAAGGAGGCTAGTGATGGTATGAGTTATATATGTGAGGTGCACAGGTCAGGGCCTGACACATAGTAAGCATATTAGTGTAAGCTATTACTGATACAAATTAACAGCAGATAAGTATACTGTGGTTGCTCATTAAAGTGATACAGTCATGCAAATGAGCTCTGTTTTTCTCTTTACTCAGAAATACACAGAATTAGGTAATTTTGCTGCACAATACACATTAACATTTAAAAAAACCCAAAAACCTAAGGCTGAAAACAAAGAAACATTCTAGGTTATTAAATGTTTATCTTGGGCAATGTCAATTGTGATGTTTCTGTGCTACCAGTAGTGCTGTACCCCTTGGTACCCTGATTTCCTCTTTAGATGCCCTCATGTCTTGTTCATTCCATTTCATTTGTTCACTCACTGTTCATGCCTTTTGTGAGCATGAGCACCTTCTGTGCACTGGGCACTGGGGTGACAGAGATGGTCACAGACACATAAACAGATGCGTGTGACACCGAATGGGAAGGGCTCTGGAAGAGGCACCAGAGAGTGAATGCACGTCCGTTTGGGGGAGGTCATGGGCAGGGACACTTGTTCAGAAGAGGAAGCGTGTCAGCTGTGTAGGAATATGCCTGATGGAGAAAGGACAGGAAGGTGTTCTCGTTGGAGGGAATGGTGCCTGCCAGGCTAGAGGCAGGAAGCAGCGGAGCATACGGAAGATGCTGGCTGTTTAGTTGGGCAATGGTGGCACAGAATGCAGGGTGCACATTAGTGGGAAATGTTGCTGCAGGCATAGGCAGGAGCCAGGCCCACGACCTTGATCTGAGGGTGAGAACCATCATGTAATTGATCTCTCAGAGTGAAACCCAAGTCCTCTGATCTCTTGCAAGGCCCACTTGATTCAGCCCCATCCTGGACTCTGCCAGCGTGCTGGGCTCCCTGTGGGGCTGCCTGGGGCAAGTCAGACAGGCCCAGCCTGCTTCTACTCTAGGACCTCAGCGTGAGCCACTGACCCATGGGCATGCTCTCCCACAGGCTGCCTGGGTCAGCTCGCTCACTTCCCTCACCTCCTGGCTCACATCTCCCCTTCTCCTTGAAGTCTACCTTCGGTGCTCCGAATGAGTGCTGCAGCCAGCTTGCCTCGCCCCTGGTACCTCTCCTGCTGGATTCTTGTTTACGTAGCATTTACCTTCCAACATACCTCGTATTTGAGCTTTGACTACGTTTGTTGTTCATCATACATCTCCTCACCAAAATGTCAGCTCCCAGAGGCGGGAAGGGGTCTTTGTCGGTCCCAGCACACAGTACGTGATCGATAAATATTTATTGAGTGGATGAATAACCGAATGTCTTTGGATTGTTTTTAAGGAACTTCAGCTCTGAATTAAAAATAAGAAGCAGAAGGAAAAAAATACTAGAGACAATTCAAGCCTCTGTTCTTGTTCTTTGATATTGCCTCGTTCATATATTTTCCTGATGGTCCAGTCAATAGTGTGGAAGTTTCTTCCTGCTTTGGATCTTTCATAAAGGAGATTGGGAATGTCAGTGATGGTGTAAAAAGCTACAAATATGTGCATGACCCTTTGGGATGAAGAAGCACTTTTTGTCGACTCCTTCCTCCCTACCACCCCATCCTCACTTTGCCCCATCTTGCCTCTTTCGTTGTTGGCTTCTCGAGTAAGCCACCAAAGCATGGGGCCCTGGGCTTGCATGTGCCATGTGCCTGTTGTTCAAATTCTGTCTTGGAAATAGCACTTCTTGATCTGGTCTCCCTGTCTGGGTACCCTGTCTCTTATTACTGATATGCATCCCACACTGGACTGTCCCCTGCTCCCAGACCCTCCACACTGTGTGACCAGGAGCACCCAGGCCTTGCTCATGCTGTTTCCCCTACCCAACCCTCTCTGTGGCCTCTGGACCCCCCTGGGACCCAAGCCTTGTTTCCTGCTCCTGGTTATGACAGTGCCTCCCTCCCACTTCCATACCTCGACTTCTGTCCTTCCCCTGGGCTGAGCCCTTTCTTTGAGGCCCTCAAGGACATCCTTACTGACAGAAAAAAGACAAATTCATCTCTCTGTTGTAATGAACTTCTCTCGTGAAAACTTTTCCTCTTGCGAAACTGCAGTTCCCAGGTTTTTCTCATAGCTGTCCTAAATTTTCTGCTGCTTTTTTCTTTCATACTTGCCAATTTTTCCTTTCCGTCGTCACCCCATATGCGGGCAACAGCCAAGGCAGATGCCTCCACCTTTTCTGCTTCTCTTTATTGCTCTTGCTTTTGGAGAGGTCATCGCTTCCTGCCATTTCAGCTCACTCCTCTGCTCAGCACTCATCTCCATTCCCCCTAGAGTCACGCAGCAGCCACGCTGTCCGCACTCCCCACTGACTGTTTCCTGAGCTGAGGCCCATGATTTGAGTCCATGAAGGTGTCTAAAGGTAAACTTACCACTTCTTAAATGTCTTGTTTTCCTCCATGGCAGTAATCCTTATCATTACCAGGGTTATAGGCCTTGGAGTAAATTTTGTGTGATTTCTCTTCACACCTCTCCATATTTATTTTACAAAATGCTTTTTTTTTTTTGCTGGGAAAGATTCTCCCTGAGCTAACATCTGTTGCCAATCTTCCTCTCTCTCTTTCTTTTCCTCCTCAAAGCCCCAGTACATAATTGTATGTTCTACTTGTAGGTCCTTCTAGTTCTTTGTGAGCTGCCGCCACAGCATGGCTACTGACAGACGAGTTATGATATGGTTCTGCATCCGGGAACTGAACGTGGGCTGCCGAAGCAGAGCGCACTGAACTTTAACCACTAGGCCATCAGGGTTTACAAAATGCTTTTTTATTCCATCTGCTGCTGTTTTAATTTACCATCATTAACGCACCTCCTGCAGTCCTCATTTGTACCCCAATTACCGCAACATTTAAATTTCACTTCCCGCCAGTCTAGCTCATGTACCGTTGCCAGATTCATCTTTCTGAAGTGTTTTCTCCTGATCAGAATTGTCAGTGACTAGTTATTTTCTAATGTGTTCACTCCATATTCCCTGCCCTCCATTTTCTCTCCTACTAACTAACTTTCGTTCCGGCATTTCTCCATTCCATAACATCTGTCAAATTGATCTCCTCATCCCACAAATTCATACTTATTCTTTCTCATCTTTAGTTTTTCTTCATTCATCCAATAAATTTATTTTTAATTGCTGTAGTGTGCTCATTTTCTTTCTACATGGAATACTTCCACTCTTTCTTCTCCATATCTAATAATGAGGATGCTTATGATAATTGCTCCAAGTTTTGAGGGCTTCCTGTGTATAAGTCTCTGAGCCAAGTGTTTTAAGCATATTATTACGTTTATTCCTTATAATAAGTCTATGAGGTGGAGACAATTATTATATCCATTTCACAGAGGAGGAAATGGGAACCTGGAGAGAGGTAAGGCACCACTGGGGTACATCTCTGGATTCTGTGCTACCTCTAAGATGCCTGATACAGAGGAAGGAACATGGACTTGGGAGCCCGGCAAACCTGAATTCAACTCTAACTGGGTCTAATGCTAGCTTGGGGGATTCAGGTGAGTGATTGAGTCTCTCTGAGCCTGAGTGTCCTTACTTATAAAATGAGGGTTAAACGAGATGGTTTGTTTTTCTTACCATCTCACAGAGCATTTAACAAAAGTTTTTCTTCTCTGGTTTTTCTCTTCAGCCTCATTTCTCCCATTGACAGCCTTACCTGACTATCTCAAACCCTTTCAAATCCTGTTGCAATTTGCACTTCTGTAGTAATTTTCATCTGCCCAGTGTAATTTAGGACTAAATTATGGCCTGCCTTCATTCAGGTATATTGGTGTTGCCTTCCTGGTTGGATTTTAAGAGCAGAGACCAGTGTTTTAATTCTCTATTTCTCATCAGGCTCCACATAGTGATGAGCACAGAGTAAGTGTCCAGTTTTACTTTGTAAATTGACGTGTCTACATGGGCAGTGATCGTTGGATCCAGCCGTCCCTGATGCCTTCACCCACATAGCTGCGTGCACCTTGGCCTGTCAGCCTGCCATTATTAATGGTTATCCCTCTCTTCTCTCTTCCCAACCACAGCGTGTGCATTCCGATACAATGGGCTGTCCTTTGTCTACCTCATCTACCTCTTGCTCATCCCTCTGTTCTCAGAACCAACAAAAGCGACGATGCAAGGTAAGAGACATTTACTATTCTGTACCACAGTCTGAATGCATTTTGCTGGGTCTCTGGATTTGTCTTTATCCAATGGGATAGATGCTGTCTCTATAGCACGCTGGTCAGTGGGGAGCAAGTGTCAGACATTTGAACAGCTGCATCAGGTAGAGCGGTATGCAACCTGTTGGTGACACGTGTTCTTGTCACTTACACAGCTGTTCTCTTCATACAATTCCCAGCAGGTCTTTCCCAGTTGGTGTGCAGTGTATCTTGTATGTTTTGGCTAGTTAAGATGAACTCAGTGTCATTGCCAATGAAATAAGGCAGATGGCTGACAACATTGGCACATGATCTGCATATTGGATTGCTGGGGAGAACGTGATGACAAGTGGAAAAGAGACAGAGCAATGACTTACATTTCTTAGCCACATAGCAGGAGAACTGAGTAGGAAGCCGGGTCCTGGTCACGACTTGTTCAAACATCAGTTGAGAAATCTTACATATGCCTCAATCAGGTACTGAAAGAGAGTAATTTGAGTCTAAAGGATGGTTTCCCCAGCATGTTGCTGCAAAACTTTGGATCCCTTTCCCACTGCTCTACAGGAACCTAAAGGCGTAGAAAAGAATAGTGACTACATTTTCTGAGGCTCTAATGAGGAAGCATAGTCTGGTTTGTAAATTTATATATTTGAAGTTCTTCCACAATTATAAAAACTAAACCACACTGAGTTAATTTAATAAATTGTTTTTAAAACAATACCATTACAAGAAATAAGGACTGTGCCAAATGCGTTAGGTGAGTGTGATGGCTGTATGTTTGCATGAAAGGAAAAGGGAGCTGTGTTTGACCCAGCCTAAGGAGTGATGTGGAAACAGCCATTGGTTGATGCTGCCAAATCATGGTGGTGACTCTTCAGGAAAAGAAGTAAAGATGAGGTGTATGCAGAGCCGCAAATAATGACTCTACCTTTTTCATTCTCCCCCTTAACTATTAGATTTGTAGTATGTGTTGTAATCATTCATCCTCACATGCCATGTTGATTTTCCTGCCTCAGGAAGAATCTAAAAAATAGCTCTTCTAAGTCACTTAAATCTTTAACATAAAGTTAAGAAGGCCTAGAAAAATGTGAGTTTATACAAATCCTCATCAAACCAATGGGTATGTTGTGTATGGGACCCCACCCACTCTATCCTCATTCCTAGAGTTATAAACAAAGACTTTTAAACAGAATAGCTTCTGTCCTCAGAACCAAGATTATAACATATGGGCAACTCATATTTCATGGCTTGGAACTCATGTTTCAAAGAAAGGAAGTTTCATGCACATTCAGAATAAAGTGCTTTGAAAATGAGTACCTGTGTATAGTCAATTAAATTATCTATTGCTTTTATATGAAAGTATCCCCTTATTGTTTTATCTGGAAATCAGGTGACCGGAATTTCCCCTTCATACCCATGTGACAATGCCTGGCTTTGCCTTCTTCCCAAACGAACCGGCCATGCTCTCTGTCAGATTGCCTCGGTCTCTGGAAGGGCGGGATGTGCAGCTCTGTCGGAAGGGCATGATAATGGGCCCAGCATTTCGGCCCGGGTGCGCCGAGGACTGACACCGACAGGAAGCTCGCAGGGGAAACATAAAATCAAAAAGCAAAGAGCACCTCCTCTCCATGTAAAGAAATATCCTGAATCACAAAATGTACAAGGCCAGTGCACAGACATCTGCTGGTGCCGCTCCTGGTGGGAGAGGAGGGAAGGGGACCCGCAGGCATCTTTCCAGCTACTCTCTGGAAGCAGCCTTTTGATTATGTATCTTCCTCTTTCCTGCATTTCAGTGCCAACAAGTGTGACTGATATTCAGCATAACCTCATTTATTTGTTTGTTTATGGAAACATAGAGGGACTCTAGGAAACGACGTCTCACATATTTTTTCTGAACACGTAGGATTCACGATCTAGATGTTTCTAAAGTCTGTGTCTTGAGATATCCCACATTGGGCATTTCTGGCCGTGCGTGGTCCCAGGACGTGAAGCCGATGTGGGTAGATGTGCACAGCGATGGGCCCAGAGGAGTGGCTGCCTGGGGCCTTTCGGGGAGACTCGGGCACAGACAGGCTCAGACTTTCTAATTTGTGTTCACACACACTTCTCAGGCATCAATAAGAAGGAACACTGGCAAAGTGCAAGAACTGTCAGCAACCTCTGCACCGCCTGCTTGCAGACAGCCTCTGCCGGAAACAGCACGTGAAGCCGAATTGCCTGCGGTGCAGATGAGCCCTCTGTGCATTCTGCCGGGACCGGGTGTTGGGGTGGGCTGCTTCTGAACTAGGAGTGTGGTGCATACGTATGAGAGCTGCCCCATGACCCTCTGCCCTCCATTTGGTCTGTCGGATGTTCTTTTCTCGTGTGATTATTTTTCCTAGGAGTGTACCCATAGAATTTCACGTCGTAACTTAGGGGATGGTTCTTTGGCATGGTTCTGGGGTACCCCTAAGTGTAAAATCCCAGTCTCTCCACCGTGGTTGTAGGACAAAGATGTCCACTTATTTTGATCTCAGTGCCATCAGCAGGACACAGAGCATCTGGGTGTCATTGAGGCTTTCCCCATGCCTGTGATAAACAAAGATGTGCTGTGAGGCCGGAAACGACTGTGTTGTAGAGGAAGGAAGATCAGTAGCAGTTAGTGCTGTGCTGAAATGTGATCAAGTTAAAAAAAAAAAAAAGAATTAGAGGGAGGACAATTGCTTGGGGGCTCAAAGCACTTCACTTAGGTCTGGGGTCACCTGATGGGCAGAAGTTGGAGGAGCTTTGGGAGTTACCAAGCATATTCCAGCAACCAGCAGTGGAGTCCCTTCTACAACGTCCGTGTGGTCTCTTCTTATATACTAATGGTGCCAGGGAGCTCCCCATCTCCCCAGGAAGTCCTAGGCAGTTCTTTCCTGAGTAGACCTGAAGTCCACCTCCCTGCAAAGCCAAGCCATCGTTTCCAACCCAGAGCACTGATGGAAGAGTGAACAGACACGAGAAGATGGCTTTACAATAATATTGTGACGGGACTTCTCAAAGATAGGGGATTTGCCTAAATGAGTTCGTGAGTCTTTTATAAGTCTAGGATTTTAGAACTCTCATTTTTCTATTAAAGACCTTCAAATGTGTAATTACCTTAGCAGCATTGTGTCAGTCAGGATCCAACCAGAAATCAGGAACTACTCCAGGTGTGTTAAGAGGAGGAGCTGCAGTAGAGGGAATTGGTTACTAGAGGTCGTGGAAGAGTGGTGTTGAGGCAACGTCGATGTCAGCAAAGCAGGAAGGCGGGGGAGAGTGGGAGGGGTCATGCGCAGAACTCAGAAACAAGGGCTGTCTGCGAGTTGCTGGAACCACGGGAGGAAGCCAGGGAACGGATCTTTGCAGACAGGCATTGACTGGCACTCACAACTATTAGTTATGTCCACCAGTGAGACAGTTCCATGTTAATCGTTGATAAGCTACCCATTGCTTTTCAAATGTCAGGAGCGGGTGTGGGAGGGGATCCTCTTTCCCTTCACTCTGTTTTTCACCAGACAAAACTTCCCTACTTACTCAAGGGTGTGATTTTTCGACTGTTGCATCTAGACGGACTTCCTCTGGAGGCACTTCCGTCTGTCAGAATCTCTCCTAAAATGCTGTATGCAGGATGCTGAGGTGTACGTTTGGAATCGCCTCACTGGACTGAGGCCCCATTCCCCAGCTGCCAGGAGGCCTTGTCTGTGACAGCTCACAGCGGAATCCCTCCCTGAAAGGAGCTGCCCCCCTACCCTCCCGCCCCCGCACAGACTCTGGAGGAAGCTGGTACCCAGGGATTGCTCAGCACAGGGTGCAAAGGCCTCCGGTCTGGAAAGTCTCTGCAGGGCCATGCTAACTCCAGAGTGCCCGTCAGCTGTTGTGAGAGCGTCACAGTTTCCTCTCTTCCTCAGATGAGTGCTGCTGCCCTCACTCCCCAACAGGTGTGGCTGCCCAGAGCACTGCCCCTTGAACCTCCTGCCAGGTGCATCCACCTCAGCGTCTGCTTTTGGGAACCAGACCTAGAATGGTCCCTACAGCTGGGACCAGCGCCTTACACGGCCGATCAGATGGGAGAACGTGTATTGGCGGAAGGCTAGGAGCTCAGGAGGCAGAGGCATCGAGCACTGGAGGCAAGGCTGCCATCCAGAAACAGCCTCAACACTCCCTGCCCAGGGCCTCAGTCAGCCAAGGCCAGTGTGGCTGCGGGTCCTAGCCTGCAACTAACTTGACCTGATATCGCTTCTCTTGGCCAAGTTTTCCTCCTTTACAAGTGGGGACTCATCTTCTTCAAGGTTACCTGACTATGTGGGGGTCACATGAGCAGATATGAATTTTAAACACAACATAAGATTATTACACAAATAGTAGTTATTGTCAGTTGTAGAACTGACATAGTTTGAATTGGCATGTGTGTACCTCTACATTTCCCTCCGCCTGAGTGCTCTCCCCAGATTTCAAACAGGGGGCCTCGTCTGAGAATTCAGATTTATGTCAAATGTCACCTCTTTAGAGGCGACCTCCCTAACTAAAGCTGTCCTACCCTATTTCCATCTTATTTTCATACTATGAACCAGTTTGATTTTTCTCCATATTTGTACCTACCTGAAATTATTTGTGTAACTAGTCCATAGAAAGACTCCGAAGTCCCAGCCATGCAGCTGTCCTATTTCTTCCCTGTGACTATTCCTACCCACCCCTTCTGTGGGACGGATCCTCCTCCTGCCCTTGGGTGAAATTCTAAGCAGTCCACAGAGCTCGTCTGCTAACTCTAAGATGATAAAATGTCCTCTGGTCACTTTCATGCCCCAATCAGTCTTAGATCAGTAATTCATATCCCCAAGCCAGTGTAAAAATTAAAGCTATAAAACATTATTTAAAACTAAAGCTTCTTCCCACTGCCAGTGTGTGCCCACTGCTGGCAGAAGCCTGGAGAGGGCATGGGGATCCTGGGGGATCCCCTCTGGACCACAGCTTGTGCC